GAAAGAGAGGTCTAACTAAGTGCAGCAAAGACTACACTGCGGGCTGGGTGGTTCCGGGACAAGCGCATGGCCCAGCGTGTGGCGGCCAGTCTGCACAACGCACCAATGGGCGCCCAAAGGCAAAGCCCCTTTGGCTACGACATGGAACCTCAAGTACCTGCACCGTTTCACGTGGTCCCATCTCAGCGAACACCTAGCCTTTGAATGGCAGGTGCACCGCCAGCACTTAAGGGCCGAGGTCGCCCAGGCCAAACGTGAAACAGACTTTTATCTTAGAAATGTGGAGTGAGGGAAGCACTTCCTTGTGGCTGATGGGAACCCAGGCTTCCCCAACAGCTCCTGGCCTTTTTTTTTTTGCCCGGCACCCCACCGAACAAGAGTTTAGGGCCCCAGGAAGTCAGCCCAAGCCAGGGGGTCCAGAACGGGCTTGTCTGGCTGCTTGCTGTTCAGGACCAAGCATGCTCCAACCGAGGGCTCCTTGCTAGGATCTTTGGAGCTCCACAGTCCGCAGATGGCACAGACGGGCCCTCTGCGGCCAGGGACTCATGAGGGGCAGTTAGGCCCCTCCTTTCTGGTTCTGCCTCCTTCCTACTTCATACTACAGACTTGACACAGGCAGGCATTTTATTCTTTCTTGGACCAGCAGTCTCTGGTGACGGCTTAAAATGAAAGCTGTGTGAATCTCCCTGCCCTTATTGATACTGTAGGTGCCAGCTCTGTCTTACTGACTTCTGGTTGCCTGCCCTCCAAATCTCACTTCCTGGACCCATGGATGGGCTGTCCTTCCAACCAGATGCATAGTTGCCCCTTCCCAAAGCATTATGTCCTAATTCACAAGCACAGGTAAAAGTAGCATCATTTTATTTAGAAAAAGCAAACCAGCAGAGGTTATTAGGGTACACCACCTTCTAAATGTGTATGTAGAAAAGAGAAGAAAAATATATATGTTATACATACCAAAAAAAAACAAACAAACCCAAGATCAATGCTAGAACACTTTGTTCTAACAACCTGGCATTCTGTGATGCTCAGCCTTCCCAGTGCGACAGCTGAAGACAAAAATGGGTGCACAAGCAAATGTGGTGAAGAAAGCTGATGGTGCCCAGCTATCAAAAGATACAGTGTTTGGGGTCTTAAAGGTTTGAAGTTAAACAAGCGGCCATCTAGCAGAGAAGCAACAAGACCACATGGAAATACACCAGCCTGTGCAATCATGAGGTGTCAATCGGATTGGGTAACAGGCATCAGAAGACCCAAAACAAACATATTATTGGGAACGAGGTGAGTCCAGCCTGTGCAATCATGAGGTGTCAATCGGATTGGGTAATAAGCATCAGAAGACCCAAAACAAACAAATATATTATTGGGAACGAGGTGGGTCGAAGCACAGTCCGAAAACCCATCTGTAGACAATGGGACATCCACTAACAAAAGGGTCACAAGGAAGCAAACCAAGAAGGAAAAAGAGAGTGGGGTTCTAGACCCCATGTCAGCACACTGAGCCCTAAAGATGAGTCCCTGCACAGAGCTGCTAAGGCACAGTTGAGGGCTGTAGGGCCAACAACAGTTTGAGACATGATGATCCCTTCCTGGAGCATACTGTGACAGAGGCCAAGACTGAGGACACACAGGAGGGAGTGAAGCCAGTCTGAACACCCCCACCCCCTTTAGTGGGGCAAACCAAGAAGGGAACATAACAGATCAGCTAC